CTATGAAATATAGTTATACAAATATAATAAATGTAATAAATTTCGGATATCTCATTGCTGACTTCCGATCTCGCTGTCTCTCCATCGCAGCCGAACTTTATTCAACTTCCGCCTCTTTTTATTTTTATCCTCCTGTAGATTTTTTGCTGCTTGTCTAATATTTTCAGGCTTCAGTCAGAAAGGAGTTTGGGGGGATTAGGTTTGTTCGGTGGGGTGGGGGTGACACCAGAGGGTGGAATGATGTGTTTTCCGCCATGAATCAGCCTTATTTTACATCCTCCTGCTGCAACGTGCTTCAAATATGACGAACATTAATAAAAAGAGCCATAATTTTATTTAAATTAATACTATATAATTTAATCAGTGTATGATTATCTATTGTTAATTCRGTTAGAATGAGTGGAGCACTCGTAAACTACACAAGATATGGGCATTTTTTCAGATAGCAGATCCTCCACTTTTTCACTTCCTGACCTCCATCCAAACTTCGCGCTCTAGTGGCACTGCTTCGTGACGTCACGTGAAACCCTCCTATTCTAATGACGTTGGGATAAAACATAAACAAACACAGCATACGATGATTTGCAAATCCTTTTCAACCTATATTCAATTGAATACACTACAAAGACAATTTATTGTTCAAACAGATCAACTTTGTTTTTTTGCAAACACTCATTTTGAATTTGATGTGAGCCATCATTAAAGTCCTCTGACTTAACCTAATTTCTGCTTTCCAAACTTTAAAGTTGATTAAATAGTTGTTTATCTTGATGTATCAAAATGATGCAAAGCCACACTTGCCATTTTGTAAAGCTTTCTCGTTTGTCTATGAGTAAAAATTCTTGAATATTGATGGAGTATTTTGTGCCTGTTTCTAAAGGCCTTGTCTCACTATAAAGTTTTAGACAACTTATGCCAACTTATGATTTTTATAATGTCTAAATTAACACTTAACACAGTCTGTAGCTGCTCCACCCCAGGAACGTGGGCATACACTGGACCCCGTCATATCAAATGTTTCTGTTTCTAATCTGATTATTGGTGATGCCTTTTTSTCAGACCATTTGCCTGTTTTATTCAGTTCCCCTCCCCCAAGTAAATCTCCTAAACAGTGCCCTCCAACTATGCGCAGCCGGGCCATTAACCATTCAACTGCCACACACTTTACTGAAATGTTTAGCTCTGCAGGTTTCAAGCAATTTTCAGTCTGCTAACACTGGCTACATTCACATTGCAGGCAAATCCGACCCAAATCCGATTTTTTTGACCCATCTGACTC